ACTTTAGAAAGGGTTGAAAACCATTTGCAAATTGCAACCCGCAAATTAATATCGGATTTATAATTTAAAAATAATGTTATTTTATTAATGAATTTATATAAAATTATGATTCATTTGTTTATAATTCATCGTGTCTAGTTATTGCCTATCATTTTAAATCCATTTAATTAATTAAATTCATTAAAATTAAAGTAAATAAGTATTAAAATTAAAATATTAATTTATATTATAGCTAATTTATATTATATTTAGCATGATTGTTTTATGAAAGGTTATGTGAAGATAAAGATTCTTGATAAGGTGATGTGTCTTGGTAAATGCTAACTTGCCAGTTTTGACATTGTTTAAAAGGTTGGGAGTAGGGAATTGTTATATTGAAATCTCGTCACTATCGTCAAACATAAGGTTTATTAAGACTGCTGTAAACGAATAGACTAAGCTAATATTAAACTAATATAGAATATAAACTACTAAGTCTAAAAAATAATGTTAAATTTCTTATAATATAATTTATGATATAATAAGAACAAGCCATATTTTATAATTAATAAATTTATGTAATTTCTGTAATACAAATTCTAAATTTTAAAATAAATGATACACTAACTTTAATTATTAATTGAATGAAAGGTGAATATAATTGTGAAATGAAGAAATTCAAGGTTTTACATAAATAGTAGTATACTACTAGTATACTGGTATAGCAGTCCATTACATACAAACATGCATTTGTAAAATATTTTATATTGAAAGTATGGAAATACTGTACATCTTAATCAAGAAATACATATCGAAACTGAAAATAAACAATAATTAATGAATTTTAATATTTGTCACTGTTTTCAATGTCCCAGTGTCTTATGTCATAGAATATTTAGTTTCAAGATTATGAATTTTGAGAAATATGCATGCTACTTAACTCATAAAGTCAACGCATGGATTTATAGGATTTATATTTGCAAAACATAAACAATAAATAAGTTGTTTCGGTAAGAAAGTAGTGGATAGCTATGTCTGTAAAAGCAATGGTATATGTGTTATACGTATATGTTGTATATAATATGCTGTACAGGTATATGTGGGTTATTTCCTCAAACTGATGACACACTTATGTAATGATTTTCATTTCATTTTGAGAGAGAGAGAGAGAAATGTTTTCATAATTGTGTCATTAGTTGTGAGAATAAGTGAAATTATTTTTCTAAAGAGAATAGGGCTTCAAAATATGAATTCAAAACACAATTTCTTTTGTGTGACTTTAATTTGCAAATAGAAGTATATTTGTTTAGACAATTGGGACTCAACATGTTGTCACCTGACATCTGAGTATTATGTTTATAAATATAGAAAGTATTTGTCAAATTGTCATTTAATTCAAACCTATTTGCGAAAAGTGTACAAGAGACATTTCAAAGTTTTGCTTTATTTATTCTAATATAAACCATTGTCTCTATTGTCTTTTCTGAGGTTCATTGGTCTCACTGCAGTCCACATTATATACCAATTGTGTTGAGAGAACAGGTATTAGTTATACCGTATGACTATTACTATTAGAAATATTGTACTGCAATACCTGTGCTCTTATGCCGACCAATACATACAAATTTGCAGTGATATGATAGGGTTGTACAGTACAGAAAAGAAAGGCTTAATGAGTGCTTTGTTTTCAATTTGATATTAATATGCAATCAATTCATAAGACATTATAAACCTTACATTTAGGCCATACCACATATTGTCGACATGTAGTAATTTGATGTTTATGTTTCCATACGGAATCGGTATCAAAATTATTTGAAAATTGATTTTCGATTTTCTAAGCAGGCTCTTTTAAGGAAATGTTTCATTTAAAATGTAGTAAAACTACAATTACTATTAAATGACCAGTGCGTAATATGATACATATATACATACAGTAATTGCTATCAATAATTTTTTAGACTTAAAAATATATGCAAGGATTGGAGATCCCCACTATACAGTATAAACTACAATGAAATTTTAGTACATTATTATAATTTAAAAGTACAGTATATTAATTACTTCTACTCTGTATAATCAATGAATATAAGTACAGTAAACATAAATTTCATATAACTTAGTATTATAATATTTATAATGAATAATAATTTTAATATTTAAATACTGTAATAAATGGACATTATAATCTTAAAATATCACATGGAAAAATATAATACATTCTAATAGATGTTGTGTATATTTATTAACAATTTCATAATGATTAGTATTTCTGTACTGTATAATATACAGTGTATATGTATTATAAATACTGCATAATAAAGTAAGTCATAATAAAATAAGTTATAGGATGACATCTCCACCCCCGCCCCCGTCCTGCCCCCGACCATTTAGAATCAAGCACAAAATTATGGTTATATTAAGTAAATGAATTAATTTGAAAAAGTAATCGACTAAATGAAAAACAAGTGTTTATTATGTGTTTCGAAACGCAAGGGATTCAAGAAATACTCGAATACTTATAGAAACGTATGAATTGAGTGTATAATTGAAAGTATTATATTTGATAGCATGAAACATTTCATACAAAATGCGTATTCATTGCCAAATAGGGAGCACAATGTCAGTCGAGTCGACCTCAATAACTATAAATGCACTTATATTTAGGTTTAGGCGCACATATTATTGCATATTTAGACAATATACACTTCTACTCAAATAATTTCACTTAAATTACAACTTTTTAGTTTCATACTATTCTTAAATTAGTAGTCGTTGTCACCAGTATAATTTAGGTTTTATATTTTGTACTCATTTTCTATTGTTTTATGTTTCAGAATAAGCAACCAATTTTAACATCAGCATTGTATATTCACAAATTCAATACTTTTGCTTATAATGAATGGATACCTTACCCGACGATTATTTATTCATTTCACATTCATTTTATTTTATATTGTAAGTATTTATTATCAATTTAATATTTACACATGTATATATATATATATTTAATCACTTCTTATAAAATAACCATACTCATAATCCATAACTTACTAGTTATTATAGTTAAGGATTAATAATGAATATTTTTACTGATTATTGAATATGGATTTTCTAATAATGTTACATTCTTCAGATAATTTATTAATATTGTTTTAAATGATTTGATGAAAGCACAAAAACTTTGATTCAATTTATCAACTATTATACAACTAGTATATAAACTTTATATTTCAAAGCATGATTTGTTACAATATACTATATTCTATATTACATACTAAAGGACCTGTCATATCATATATGACTAAATGTTTGATTTAATGTGTGCTTTAGAGTCCATTAATAGTGAGCCAATCACTCAAATCTGAAAGCAGTGCCAAACGAGTGAGCGATGAGGAGGCAGAAGAGATTGAGCGGCGGATCACTGAGAATGTGGTCCGATTGGCGGCCACGGATCAGCTCAACTCAGAGATCATTACGAATAGAAGTCGAGCCTATCTCTCGTGTGAATCGGGAGAAATGATTGTGAAAATCAATTTCAGTGAACCCTTCCGAGGCATCGGGTACTCGGACTACGACCGGACGAGTCCGTGCAGGTTCTATGGCGACGGATCCAACTACTATCAAATGAGACTACCTTTGAAGGGATGCGGCACTAAACAGGTCACTATTCACCACATTATACACTACTCTACTATACCAGTACACTATACAGTACACCCTTTCATTCATAAACAATTCATAACATAACAAATTGTTTTCATAATCAGTATTATTATCAATTAATAAGAATTGCAATAATTTCTAATACTTGTTATATATATATATATATATATTTAATAATAATACACTGGAATAGGAGGCGCCCAGACTTTTCATCAATAATATAATACTGCGTTTTCATCGAACCCTGGAGTTGGAAGAGGACGAAATCAAGACCATTGTGTGCCGATACCCCCCACCACTTGCACCACCCCCTCCTAGTATATCAGCACCAATGTATGTGTTCACTAATTCTACAAATATTAAATTAATACTGAACTAGTATGCTCATTTAGTATTTATTATACATACAATATGTATTACTTATATGGTAGTACAGTATTTTTAAAACATTTAAATTAACTTCCTTTCAATATTGGGATTCAAAATTGAATTTAACTGATTTTAAATCAAATTTATTATATTATAAATTTATAGCGAGTTTATTTATACCAACTTTAAATGAAGGCACGAACATTTGTTTCAAGTGAAAATCAAATGAATTGATTTTGACATTACTATGATATCACTACAAACAGTGATTCACTGCTGTCTATACTCTCTGAAGTTCAATACAGACTCTGAACCACTGTTTGTATTGATAGTACTGTCAAATATATGCATTATATGCTTACTTGTCTTCTTGCATTTATACTCAACCTATGATCAGGGTATATAAGTAATTAGAATTTCATAAACATATAATCCATATAAATGTGCACATTTGGGATATTTGTTATTAATATTACTTTACAATAATATAGTTTAGAGCCGACACCACCGCCAGCACTGCCAATACCGGCCAAACTGTCGGAAGTGGAGCTCCTGTTAATCATAAGCGCACTGTTATTCCTGACACTATTATTACTGGGGATAGGGATGGCTTACTATTGTCTGAAGAGGAGGAATATCAAAGTGGTTCGCAAAAGGAAAGTCACGCCGTCGGAGATCACCAAAATTAGTTCCATACGTATACCTCGGGTTGCTGTCAGCACAAGTAGTTCAGACTACCCGTCCTCTTCTGAAGAGATTAGTGTAATCAGTGACACGTCGACCATAAGACGCGATCACTATAACTATGAGAACCAGGCGTTTATACCCGAGCCCTACCCTCTGGACATAGAGCGCGAAGACTCAGTGACATCACTGCCAGTGCCTGTGATCGCCAAACCAAACATAACTCAATTGGATTTTCTGACAACCATTCGCGAGACACAACATTTGACGGACACCGATATCTTCAACACCACACACTTGAAGACTACGACACAGTTGTATAGGAAGGCACCCACACCTACTGCCTCATCCATCTATGGAAGTATACCCGACAATGACATGTGGTCTCACAGCGAGTTGGAAGACATCCCATCCCAGCGCCCATACATACCTCCCCCTAAACTTCACGTTCGAAATATTGACGACAGCTTTGTGTCCACTCAACACATCACTGATATCGACGAAGATATCACAACCCATCGACGACTAACGCATCCAAACCCCAGAATTACAACAAAAACAATAGAAGACTATTATATGACTCCCAAAGAGACCACAGATATGACTGAAGACATCACAACTAAACGAATCACAACTTATCCCAAACCAAAAATTACTTCCAAAACAACGGATGACTATTATGTGAGCCCTCAAGAGACCACTGATATAACTGAAGACACAATAACTGAGCGGACAATCACTTATCCCAAACCCAAGATAACCACTCAATCTCTTGAAGACTACTATAAGACCAATAGAGACACGACTGAAGTATTCGAGGATTTGTCGACAACACGGCTGATAGCAGTGCCTCCACCTCCAAGTGGACCCGTAGTCACAGACCGCACACAAGACGACACATTCATAAACATTAGGGAAACCACAGAAATAACTGACGACACATCCACCCGAAAGCTAACCAAATACCCGATCCCTAAATATACAGTTCATACGATTGACGACACATTTATTACAAATATCTCTGAAACAGATATCACTGAACACATCACTGCGAGCGATAAAAAGGAGGCGCCTCCACCTCAGCCTCACCAGTATCCTAAACGCGTGGGAACAGGTGTTGACTGGGAGGTGCAGATCAGTCGATACCTGGTGGGGCCGACAACCGAGTTGCCCGAAACAAAAGCCACGACATCCACTATAGACCAATACGACGCCTACACTTCAGACACTACAACCTTCACTAGTAGTCATGAAACCAAGATTAATATGATTTATAAAATACTGGACGCACCGCCTCCTCACCTTCCGGGAGTGGACCGCCTCACTCCAGATGTCAAACAAAAGTTTCGTACACTTCTCACCACTGATCACGTGTTCAGATCTTTGATTATTGAATCCAACACTACTGAAGAGTACACTTATATCAGTCGTCATATTAGTTATGAACCTCTTTTTGATCCTCCCGTTTGGGTCACAATCATTACACTTCTCTCATTGCCTGAACTCAGCTCTAGACAACAGCCTACATCACCCCAACCCTCCCAACCACCACAACCCCCTCCAACCACTAGATATAAAAGGAAAGGTTCGTTGCCCTCAATTAGTGGCGAACTTATTCCTTATGAGCCGTACGTAAGACCAGATATTATCAGGTATTCATTCATTTGTTTCGTTTGTTATATTTATATAAATTAAAGTAATGTTAACTCATATGATATGATACACAAAGTTTTTGCTAATTGTATGGATGTGTTGATGAATAGGTCTCGTCGTGCCTCCCGTTCCAGTTCTATATTCGACGTCCGGTCCCTTACCGAAGAGGACGTGACATTCTCGCGGACCGACTCAATCAGATTTGCTGCTCAAACCAGCAGGTCATACGTGGAGATGAGGCCAAACACATACCCCGAAGACGTGCCAACAACAAGCGGTCTCTCGACCCACCAAACCCTGCCATCTCTGTCTCCCATACCGAGAACGGCACACATCTCAGAGTTTATGGTTCCTTCGCAACGACCGTATTCTCCAGACATTGATGCACTGAGTCTTGCTTTGCCTACCAGTGCTTATGCCTCATCTCAGTATATGTCGAGTTACGGGCGCTCCACAGCTTATGGCCGGTTGGCACACATCAGACGAACTCTGAATCGCGCGACAAGTGTTGGCGACAAAGAAGAGACCAAATCTGTCTCAGAAAAGGATGTTTACGATTGGAAACGATCTTAAAAGTCATTTATTAAAACATTATTTCTATTTATATTCTTGTTTTCAATTGATTTTACATTATAAACATATTTTTAATTAATAGGAATTTTTACTCAATATTTTTAAATTGTTATTAATTTACAGATGTTTATACAGTATATGCATATTAATAATAGTAATATCTGTAGCGAGAAATCAAATGATATATGAATTGTAATATTAAAGTAGAGTTGAAATTTATTGTTTGATTTCTTGTCAAAAATATAAATATTGTTATATTATATGTACGGTTCAGAAACAAAGTGGCAGGACTTAGATAAAGACGAATGCATTATTGAACTAGTTATTAATTTTTTAACTTACAATAAGGAATATGCTTAAATTTTGTTATTATTTAATTGTCAGTGTAATATTTTTAATTTTCTTTGTAGGGTCTAAATCTTTAACTATTGATTGAAATATATTTTCTTAAATTTAATTGAAAAAATATAAGGGTTTTTATTTAAAATTAATTTTTAATATATGTTTTATTTATAACAACATTTATATATTTATTTAACTGTAAATAACATTAATATTAACTTAATTCTCATGATTAACACAAATGTTATAAAATATACTAAACAAATTGAATGGCAGCTAAATTTTGAGCCCATATATTGGTGTCAAAGCTTTAAATTTGTTATTTTTGATATTACTTTTTATTTTAAAAATACAAGTAATATTGTAATCAAATAAAATAAAAATTCAAGTTTAATAAATATTATATAACTTTATTATTATTCATAAGCAACAAATATGGTATTGAAATTTTACAGTACCTTAGTGTTTTTATAATAAATAATGTAAATTAAAATGGATAATAAATAATAAGAGATTCATTGAGATTCAAAAATGAATGAAATAATAGCAAATGTGTTAAATGTATAACAACATAGTTTAGCAATCAGTTTAAACAATCAGCATACATTTGTTTATACATAATATATATTTTATAACTTATTATATCAGATAATTTACAGAAAAATATGTTAATTGAAGCATAAATATAATTAATAAATACCATTCTTAGATATAGCAAACGTTCAAGAGTTTGTGTATTAATTTAAACAAACTGTAT